GTGCTTCTGGAAGAATCAGGTGACTTTCCACTTGTTAATTCCATTCACAACAGCAAGACGAGTTTGGGCCATTCGTCGGCGCAGTTTTGCTGTTATCATCCTTCCGTAATACCGTTTCAGTTGCGGCGTATAAAAAAGAAAATCTGATGCAGAAACAGATGCATCCAGAACACGTCAGTATACGCTGCAAAAAATTGATGTCGCGATGACTGCCCACTTGTCTTTACTGCCTTCAGATCTAGTAAACTACTGTAAGCTACTTCTTACCCCATATGCATATTGCGTCCAGTCCTGTCAAATTAATCACTTTTATCATTCTATACTTTCGCCAATAGTTGATAATACGGCGTCTATATTTTTGACCAACGGTTTCACACTGAATTCTATATGCTTCGTACTTAACATATCTCGAAGTCGTCTAAATAACTTTGCAACAGCATTCAATGGACAATTAACCACAATCGTCAACTTTCTTTCTGTCTCATTGGACTGCAGATCAGGTGTCCGTCTCTTGCCGATAACTAATGTTCGCTGTCTTTTCTCGTTGTTGATCACTTCGACAATTTCTACTTTGAGACATTCTTGCTCGGCTACAGTATCTTCAACCTTCAACAACTTGGCACAGCAAACATCGAAGGAAATATCCAGATTCTTCAAGTCATTAAAAAATTTCGTTTTCTGCTTTCTGATCAGCTTCAGGTACATGGTGAAGGCAAAAAGAAACTTTCCTTCTTTCGACGAGATCATGTCGAAAAGAAGGTCGTTATTCCAGTTGACAAAGGCAAAAAATACTACCCAGAATTTATGGCAAGAAACTTCTGGCTTACTCTGTCCATACCTAAAAAACACCGTTCAGCCCAAAAAAAACAAACTGTCAAATAAAGTACCAATCGAGCAACGTCTGGCACAGTAGAAAACTGTTTAGGTATTCGTCATGATCAATGAACAAGTCGATTACACGATCAACTCCCTTTTCAGCGCAAAATTCATCGACCCATGACCGACAGATTTTCCCCGCTGAAACAAACATATGAAAACGGCAGAGTGTTTATCCTCTAAAATGAACCAAACAACGGTAATACTTGACAACAGTAACAGTATATGCTCTATAGTTAGATATATTTACTAGAAAAAATTTTTTAACTTAAAACAGTATCGTTTCTTCAAGTGTGAAAAGAGCGTATAGAAAGATATATCTGACCTGGTAGTCACTTATGCACAACAACAATGTTGGCAGTTTGACGAAGGGAACACTGAAAATCTGGACCAGAACACAAACTCAGATGTTCCAAAAATTCACATATGTAGACAAACCTTTTGCAGTATATCCCAATGTTAATGAAAACGGTTTTTGACTTTTTCAATAGCCGTTTCTCTCAAAATTCTAACGTAACTATTAACCGAGAAAATAATTATCGTCTAGGGTTTTCATCATGTCTTAATAATTAACTCCACTAATTGCTATAAGAATGTATATAAGATGATCGTAGACCTAATATACAGATTAATATCTATACTGTAACTCATATAATCATCTAAATAACATACATGATAACATAATATAATCGTCTGTAGTCACAGATATAATATACCGAGCTCTGAACTTCTGATAACGAATTTCTTAAAGAAAACTCAGCCTTAGCGCCCCAAGCCCGGATTAGACCGTAGGAGGGCTGGAGACCATGGCGAGGTCTCCGTAAAACTTAACCACCTACTCTTCATGGTATTGCCAGTTCGGTCGTCGTCCAAGTTACCAGCGGTCTCCCAGGCTGCCAAAAGTCGACGAACATATAGCATGCTCATCGCCCTCTATAGCATTCAGGGAGGTAGCAGCACGACAACGGCCGCCGAACACTTACAAAATGATGACGAACATACCAGTCAGCAAGGGAGCCGCCACCAGTTCTGCACGGAGGAGTCACGCA